CACTTAGATTACCAGAGCTACATGTTAACTCTCATTAGTATCTGTTCATGATAAATGTTGCTGTTTTCAATAAGAGAGCCACTTAAAAAGTTAACATTGGGATAGTGCTCAAGTTAAAAACAGATTTACTTTATCAAGTGGTAGCAAAAATGCAGTGGTATCAGTTTAATTCTCATTCAAATAAACTCTTTTTGCATTCTGTCACTAAAAACATACAACAGACTTAAAGCTCAATGGCTCCTATCAAGTCTTGGCAAACTTGGATAACATGTTATCTCTAATCCCTTTCTACTTTTTGTGTAGGAAAGGATGGGTTCACAAACACCCAAGGAAATGAATCAGGCATCAGGAAAAGCAGAAAAAAGTTGTGTACCAGGGCCAGGTGTAATGGCTAACATCATAATCCAAGCTACTCAGGAGGCAGAGATCAGGAGGATTGCAGTTCAAGGACAGCACAGGCAAAAAGTTAGGAAAACCCCATCTCAACAAAAAAGATGGAGAATCATACCTGCAATTTCAGCTACATGGGAGACATAAGTAAAGAGGATCACAGTCTAGGTTGGCCTCAGGCAAAAAGTGTGAGGTCCTTTTTGAAAAATAACTAAAGCAAAAAAGACTGCATGAGGCTTAAGTGGTAGAGCACCTGGTTAGCAAGTTCAAGGTACTGAGTTTGAACACTAGTACCACCAAAAAAGAAAAGAGAAAGAAAACAAAAGAAAAAGACAAAGACAAATAAGAAAATGATTGTCTCCTAGGCAAAGGAGTAGCAAGACTCTAACTACACCATTTCTACTTCTGGTACATAAAACTAACTCTGTAGAAATCAACCCTGTTACAGACCCTCCCACCATGCACACTTCCACTTTGTGTTAACTTTCATTGGGTAAGGTCTTTAGTTGACAATAAGCTTTAACTGAGTTTCATCAACAAATTATGCATGTTATTTAGAACATTACAAGCAATAGACCAAATAATTAAGAGGGACTGCAGATATTAAGTGAGTGCGACCCAGTGTGGCAAATTCAAATGAGAGAAAGAGTGAAAAACAATCCCTGATAGTTAGGAATGACTTTCATGGAGAGGGGAAGACACTGTCAAGTATTCAGTGTAAAGAGGATAGGTCAGTGGACCTGGTACCGGAAAAGACTGTAATAGATGCCAACTCGTTTTGCTCACACCTTTGAAGAAAGGGTGGGAGCAGAAGCAATAAAAGCTATGAGATACTCTGGCCTGGGAGAGAGAGGATGACTGTAACTATGACTGCAGGAGATTCCAGGAGTGAAATGGTGGGATTAAAAATTGACAGTCATTGACAGCCAGGTACTACTGGGAGGCTGAGATCAAGAGGATCAGGGTTTGAAGCCAGCCTGGCCAAATAGCTCATGGAGAGCCTATCTACCAAGTAACCCAAGAAAAATGGAGTGTAGGTATGGCTCAAGTGGTAGATCACCTGTTTTGTGAGTGTGAAGCCCTGAGTTCAAATCCCAGTCCCACCAAAAAAAATTGACAGTAACTAACATTTATTGTTTCAAAAAGTATGCTGTGTTCTGCGATATATCTATGTCAAAGGTTCCATGTATTAAATTCTGGTATGATTGCTACCAGGCAAGCATTATCAACCTTAAATTTTAATCAGAAAAAATAGACTTGATGAGTTCAAAACTTAATAGAATTTATACAGAAACAAGAAGTGTACCTGAATCAATGTGTACATTTATGGGATTTTTCCCCATTTTTCATATATAGAGGCAATATTAAGGAAGATAGAGGCATTCCAAGTGAAACTTGGGGTATTCTTGAATGCAGAAGTAAGAGAAGCTGAAAATTGATCCTTTTTCCCAAGTGCTTAATGGTAGAACTGACTGCAAACATATCTCTTCCTCTAGTTTCCACTTAAGGAGTTAAGGGTAAAAATTACACCATACCTATTCCTTTGAGTTTCCTTAGGAGTCCCCCCTCACACACATTAATTTTAAAAGCATAATATTGCTCAAAATATACCATTCAAATTACTGGATATATCTACTTAGCTATAAATAAGATATTCTTAGGAATAATAGGTTATATGTGGCATCATTTTGCAAATACTGAAAATACACTTCATCCCAATAACTTTACCACATGTTCCTTCCCAGGATTTAAAAATCCCACAATTAGGCATGCATATAGCTTTTTATTAGAGCACAAATACTCATGCAATCCCATTTACAGTCATTTGTGCCTTCTTGTGAATGGCTTTGTCATTTTTTTTCCAGGAAATTGCTTTCTATCTCTGGAAGGAGCATCTGACAGTGAAAAGTGGGAATAATGATCAAGACCCATGGGGAGGGAAAAAGAGGGGGCGATAAAGGCTCTAAGCCTGCTACATCACTTCACAAAAGGGCACTGTGGGAAAAATGACTTCTAACTGGGGGCATTGTATTTGTAAGTTCAACAAGGCTGATATTTCCCAAGCATGAAAGTGCACATGGCTAATGCACCTTGAAGAGTCAATGATTACCTCTGCTTCCTGCACTGGCTTATTTCATCTTCATGCCTCTTATCTTGCATGAATAGTATGACTTCTTGTCCTGAAACTCTTGTGTAAAATCACTGACGCTGGGGCAGGGTGGGGGGAAAGTGAGGTGGGCGCAGACAAAAAGGCAACTCTAATCCATTTTGCAAATTTGACAGTGACATCAAAGAACAAGAAGTTGTCTGTGAGTAACAACATTGCTCATTTGTTTAAATGTCAAGCCTAAACCGCATCAACTTTCAGGGCATATGTCAGCCCTGAAGAATGAGTTTCAGCTCAGTTGGAGAAGATTTCTGTGTTATTCAGTCCCAAGAAAGATAGCTGTCAGTATCTTGAAATCAGAGTGCTTTGAGCAAATCTTTTTTTTTTTTTTAAGGTGAATGAAACTGGCTGTTTCAGCACTTGGGGCCATGGACAGTGTTCTTTCTCTTTCTTGGTGTTAGGAAACAAGGAGCCTCAGTGTACAGGTGTTTCCTCTTTGAAGCTGAAACTCCCCAGGCTTGCGAACATGTACACCCTCAACTATTCATTTAGGATATGGGGACTGTGCAGCACAAGGTCTGTGCAAAGCATCAATGAAATAATGTCAAATGAGAGCACATTTTATCACAAAGATTAAGCCTGAAATAAAATTAGGGAAGGGAAAGAGTTATGGCTAAATGGCTAAAAGAGTCTTTTTTTTTTTTAATGGCAAAGCAATCGCATTCCACCCTAGACAGGATTTTGGTGGAGAGAGTGACACGGACATTAACCCTCATGGTACTTTATTGGCAGTGGATGAGAAGGCAGGCAAAACAGGCTCATTCTGATAGGCTCCCAGACTCTCAGGAGGAGAGAAGCCTTTCTTTATATGACTCCTACGTCTAGAATGGAATGACAATCAAGAATTCTGGATCTGAGGTCAGAAGAAATAAAATCAAACCTAATGCACTAAAGTGTTGCTATGCTAGTGACTAGCTTGTCTTAATAGCTGAACCCCTAAGGATGGATGACAGAGCGGTATCTTTATTAACAGGCTTGTCCTTAGGGCAAAACCCCTACTTGTGTGTATTTCCACTTTCATTCACTATGTCTGCATCTCAGGAATTTTCTCTTTATTATTTTAACCTTAAATAACCAACAAACAAAGTAGACTAAAATAATATAGAAAGAGCAAACCAAAGTCCTAAGAGATTTCTGACTTCATCAACAACCCTTTAGAGAGTTCCTCTCAGTCAGTCACATACCCTCAGCTAGTCTGCTTACTGGACTGAAGAGAGACTTCTTTGGACATTTCCTCCTCAGACCACTACACTTGGGAGAGGAGGTAAAAACCAGATTAGTGTTGAATGTTCTGTAAAGTCCTTAGCATGCTCAACTGCAAATGAACTGCAAATTCTTTGCTTTTGACTTCAAAGCTTCCCGACCTCCCTCACCTCCCTCACCATCTCCTTATTTTATAACTGAAAATCAAGAGCACCTTCTCCCAGCCTCCCCCCTCTCCTCTGGTCCTTCCCAACAGAATCCCTCCACACTGCCCTCTGCATTTGAAAAGCCTCGCAGCTCCCCTCTCTCCATTCATGTAGGTGCGGACTCCTTCCATTCACAATTTATTTTAACTCGCCTCCCTTTCTCTTGAAGTAGATTCCTCTCCTGCCTTTATAAACTCCATCAGCACAGTCTCCATATTGTCACCTAATCCCCTCCGCTACTCCTCAGAAATTGTGGTGGGGAGAGGTGGAGGGAGGGGGCAGGCAACCTGTGTTTATACAGACCAGGCAGGGACAGAGTCTAACAATAGCTTAGCCTCATGTTTTAGGGGGAAAAATCAGTTAACAAATACTTCCTGAGCCTGGCAACAAGCATTTCTGGAGAAAGATATTGGTTGGATGGCTGGATGAATGAATGCTTGAATGGATGGGGGAATGATTGAGGCATCCGAGGTACTTTTCGTGAATGCCCCTCCTTCCTCCTGCTCAGGCATGATTTCTGGTTAATTCAGCTTTGGAGAAGGAGTGTGTGCACCTCCCTGCTTTCCTCCTCTCTGTCCCTTCATTACCATGTCTTGACAGGAGCCGGAACCTCCTTGCTACAGGGCACGCTACCTAGCTGCAAATGCTGTGTGACTCCAATAGCCAGACAGCTTGCTTCTCTTTGCATCCTACCAGCTCTGCTTCTCCGAAGTCCCCTAAAACACCCAGCCACGTTTGCATGAAAGCACCATTGATTCCCCCACAGCTAACAAAATCCACCTGCAGATCCCGTGTTCCTGTCCCTCTCCTGTTACCTAGGTGCTGGGCAAAGAAACAGTGTTTCTTTGCAGAAAAAAAAGGAACATCATTGCGGATGAGAAAATCATAAAACTTTTAATTTTTTAAAAAAAATTTTCATTAACAACGCCACCTGACCTCTTTGTTTGCATCCCAGAGGGAGGAAGGGGTCTCTGGAGAGCTTGGCAGCCCCGGGAGGGCTGAGGGGAGGTGACAGCCATGGGGAGGACACTCACCCAGGACGTTCCCAATCAGGGCCACCACGAACACGATGATGTATCCCGCGATCAGGACCCACTCGTATTCTTTCGGGTGCAGGTATTCCCTCCACAGGTACCGCAGGAATTCCTCGTCGTCATAGTCGGTGGGGTTGAGAAAGGGCTCTTGAGTTTCATTCAGCTCGGCGGCAGATGTCCAGTTGCGACGAGGGAGGGAGTCCTGCAGTCTGGTGCCGGACATCACGGGCTCGGTCCTGGGCTCAGCGCTGCGAGCCGCTCTCCGCCTGCCCCATGAGCACTGGAGACGCGCGCGGAGGGCGCGGCGCGGCGCGGCGGGAAGGGCCCTGAGCCCCGCAGAAAATGACGTGAAAAGTTACCGAGCCAATGCCTCCGGAGTCCTGGGACGCGCAACTTGGCTCTGCACGGGGAACACTGGCGGCTGAGCAGTCAGGGACCCGGCAGCCCAGGCTGCAGCAATGACACCACGAGGAGAAAGCCACCACCCGCTCGCTCAGCACGGCTCAATTACTCCTCATTCCAGCCCCGAGTCTGCAGCGCACAGCCTCCTCCCGCGCAGAGAGGGATGAGCTCACACACACACACACACACACACACACACACACACACACACACACACGTAATGCAAACTCTGTGGCTTGAATGACCTTTTCCACCCCTTGGAAACATGCACAGTTTCTATGAACACGCATAGCATGGGTAGGTCTGAGGAGAGGACACAAAGGTCACCGCATGGTTAATTCAGGGATTGTTGGTGCATTTACTTGTCTTCCTCAAGAGAATGCGAAAGTAAAAAGGATGCAGGCACCTTGTGGTCTTCAAGCAGGAGGATGCAAAAGTCATTTCAGGCAAATATTTTACTTTTAATGTAAGCATATTTAAATTTTTATTATTTGCCCAATTGGCACTTGCTGAATAATTATGATACCTCTTTCCTCTCCTCCTCAAAATTGTGGGCTGAGACCATTCTTGAATGGAAAGGTGTATTAAACAGGAATTCAGATTATGAAATACAGCAATAAGTCTTGAAGGACACCAGGAGTCATGGATGGGACCGTCCATGGTTAATGGACGTCCAGCTCAAGAGAGCTCTGAACGCACAAGCCAATATTAGAATCTAAGCAGGAGGCAGTAGTGGAAGCAGCTCTTCTCTCCACGGACCACCACACCCCTCTGGCATTATTTATTCAGAGCTCCTGTCCTCTGTGATTCTGTCATTGAGCTGGTTTTATGCAAGATGATTTCACTCTTGATAACCATTTTAGGAGTATTGCACTAGATTAATTACCATCTCTGACTTGAGAAGGTCTCACAGTCATCTAGTCTGAATGAAACCGGAGTTTTGGACCCAAGGCCCAAACTCCTGAGATTCCATATGCCAGGTCCAGCCACCACCCCTAAACTCCAAAAAAAGAAGCTTGGTGAAGGCAAAGAAAGGAGGTTTATTACACAGCTTGGGACACCATGGGAAGAGGCAGAATGAGCACTCAGCTCATCTTCAGCCGTCTTTGGGGTATAGACACGAGCAGTAGGTTTAAGTAGACAAAAGAATGGGGGTAGTGGACAAAGGCATACATAGTTAATTAGTCTCAATCATAGGTGTGCTCTGGTTTACCATTATCTCAGTTTGAGCGTTCCCAGAGGGGTTGCAGAGAAGAACTCATAACTTGAGGGGCGCAATCTGGCTCCCATGAGACGATTACTCCTGTTCCAGGTGCAGCCACATCATTGCAGGTCATTGTCCTCATTTGGAGGGGTGTCGGCCCTGCACATTCTACTGTTCCAGATGGGAAGTTTCAGTCCCTTGTCATAAAGATGTTATCAGTTCTGTCCCTTCTGGAATCCAACGTGATTGCAAAGTGACACAAAAGAAAATGGCTTAGAGCAAAGACACATACAAAATGGAGGCAGGGATGCCAAACTTCTCCCATTTTTAGTTAATTCGTAGGCCCGTAAGGAGTCAGTGTTTTTCAACTAGAACAGTTTGAGCACCTCTTACCTAAACTTCACATTAATACCAGAAGCCTATGACCTGTCCCTATTCTCTTGGATCTGACCACCACAATTCACCATCTGGACCGGCACTATAGCACTGCTCTATGTTAGGATGTTAAACTGAGGTCTTGAGCCACCATTTGCCTTTCTCTTACCTTCATTTCCTAGTTTGCAACTTGATACTACATAGACTAAACCAGGATGCTGCAAAGTCAATTTCTCGATTGCTTTTCTGTAGTTAAGTGTCCTTTTCTGCCTTCTTCCTCTGTTTTACATGTACAGTTTCTATACATATACACAGACCTGTGAAGGTGTGTGGACACGACAAAAAATTCAGCACATGGTGAATACAGAATGTGTTGATGTATTTGTCTTTATAATACAAATATAAATGCACATGAAATTCTTCACATTTTCAAAATGGGAATGACCTGTCATTCCATGATCCTTATTTTCGCCCCTGCCTGTGACATTTCCATTGGTCTTCAAATGTCACTATTTATTTCCATATCTGTACAGGTGCTTGGTCAACCTTTCCACAATTGTCAGTCTCGCAAAATAAGCAGCTAGGTGGGGAGATGATGATATGGTTCAGGTGTTGCCAGTACACCAAATGCGTTACTCTTTAGATCCAACCAATATTTGCACAAAATTATTTTTCAGTAGTCACAAGTCATGAAAGTTTTTTGTCAACTGTTTTTACTCCTACCTCCAACCATGGCTTTTCAAATTTGTTTTGTATTTTAAAGTTTATGAAAATTTTTTCTATGCATTGTTTTTAAAATCCTGACAGGTTGGCTATTATTATTCTTGCTTTGCAGATGAAGAAACTGTTTCTGCAGAAAGTAAATGATTTCCCAAAGATCAAGTGATCAATCAGCAGAAATCCTAATCCAGTGCTTGAATATTGTACATTTCCTAGCTCATAAGAAATACAGCTGTTGTGGTTTTCTAATCTGTACTATTTAGATTATTTTTAATATAAAGGCATGAGTAGGCATCATATTTTTCATCAAATATTTACTGAGTGACCCTATTCCACTCTGATACAAGCTAAGCAGGTTGCTGTTTTCATGCATTTTGCTTTCTAGCACAGAAAGAGAAAGAAAATCAATCAATAAATATATAAGGAAAATATTAGGGAGGGCTAAATGCTGTGATGAAAACCAAACAGGATAAAGTGATGGTGACTAAAAGATACCAAAGATTACACAAGAAATGAATAGTCAGAAAGGCCTTTGTGGACAGGTGACATATAACCAGGAGACACAAATAATGCATTAATATAATAATTTAATTTAATTCATTTTAACCAGATTTTCTCAAATGCTAACTCTGTTATCCAAAGCATTAGCCATTCCCCCAGACCTGTTGTCACCAGCAAATTTGACAAGCAAACCTGCTGTGGCTTCATTCAAGCTCATTGGTACACGTGTGCTAACTCTTGCTGTGGGATGCAATATCTTTTCTGATGAGTATCTGTCCTTTCCTCTTCCCTGCTACTATTTCTTTCAAAACGAGGAGAGTCATTGCAATCTTGGTTTGGATTTAGATTTGTAAGCATGTGCAGATTCCTTGTCATTGGCCACCTATAAATACAAAATCAGTCTTCAATTTGCTAAGTAGTCAGTGCCATTTGCTTTCATTTTGTGGCATTTCAACTTCCCTATACTTCAAACTTCACTTTTAAGGTCTTCTACTGCAATTAATCACCGCTGATTATCAGAGATATAAATGAAGAGAAATGAAAAGATTTTCAAGATCTTAGTCTGATGTCTGCTTTATGTTGTGGCAAGCCTGGATTTATCTTGAGCCTATAAGCATTCCACCTCATTCTGTCCATGACTTAGATGCTTTATTTTAAATGTGTGGTACTCCGGTGCCATACGAAATTCTACTCAATTATTCTGATTATAATTTGCTTTCTTTGCAAGCATGATAAAGATGGTAAATATTACAGTACTTCTTTCTGATATGATCTCCTTCCTTAGAATATTTAATGACTTTTAGAAGATGCGAAAATGAATTATTGTTCCTAGGTGGTGTTTTTCAACTCAAAATCTTTCTGCAGTATGTAGGGAACAGGAGTCAACCTAATATCACAAGACACTAAAGAAAGTTTTTAATTTTCTCCTCCATCATAGCCCCATAAAGTTGTTGTTATAAGAACTAAATGAATTGATATTTCTCAAAACAGTGTCTAGTAATCTGAACATGTTTGTTATATATTTTAAAATATACAATCTCCTAGTATGAATGTGGTTTCTATATATAAATTTCAGCATTAATAGTTTAAAAAAATGGTTCACAATTTTCTGTGTAACTGTTCAGCCATCTCACTTAATTTTTCTCATCACTTTTTCCTCTGCTACTAACCTGAATTTATCAAAAATGATGGTGGGGGAAATAAATCTCAAAAAACAGATTTTGCTCTCTCTTACTGGTTTACATAGGTTGTTCACAGATCTCAAATTGTACATTCTGTCCCAGATTTTATTTTCATATTCCTGGTGAGTGATCACCCTTTTTGCAGGTTTATCGTTCCTTTCTAGATACATTTTAATAAATACTTCTGAGTATGAACCCAAGCACTTAGCCAGGAGCTGGAGACACAATGATCACTCAGTCCTCCAGTGAGTTAGTGATGTTATGATTTTTTAATAACTCTGAGTTTTTAGAGTGGAGAGAAGCACAGGTATCATGAAAGAAGGCCTCTTTCAGCCAGGAGAAATGCAGAACAGATGGCTTCCTCACAAAGAAAGTTACTCAGGCTGACTCCTTAAGCAAGAGATTACTGAGTAGTTGAGGAAGGAAAACTTTCAGACAGAGGGAACTGCCCTTTGTAAATACTTGGCAACAGGAGAAAATATGGAGCAAAAGCCATGTGCAGCAAAACACGGTCAGGTATTTAGGACAGGCTCTGATAGTAGTGTGAAAAATGGATTAGAAAGATTGAAGATAAGGGGCCCAAATAGGATACTAGCAAAGGTAATGGTTGTGGGGATTGATTGGAGTTGTGTATTATTGAAAAGTGTAAAGGTTTAGATAAACCTCATTTAGAATGCTGGAATCTTGTCTTAAAACTTCCTTGAGGAAGAAGACTTACTGTGGTAACAGATATAAAGTTTATTTCATGTATCACTGTGTGTTTTAAGACTATTTTTTCTCCTTTTTTATTAGCATATATCAATTGTACAAACAAGTTTCATTGTGATGTGTTCATTCATGCATATAACACTCTTTGCTCATATTCATATTCATGAATTACTATGTAACATTTTAACAAATATTTAAAATGTGAATGACCAAATCAGGGTAATTAGCACACTGATCAGCTCAAACATTTTTCATTTCTTTGTGATGAGACTATTTAAAATCCGCTCGTTTAGATATTTTGGAGTATTCAATAAGTCATTGTTTGCTATAGTCAGTATACTGAGCTGTAGAATAAACTATCTGGCTGTGATTTTGTGTTAACTAATCTCTCCTTATCATCTCCTCCCCACAACTACCCTTGCC